GTTGGTGCGTCTGGCTGCCACTGCTCGCCGGCAAACTTTTTGTGTTTTTACTTCTTTTTCACCCGAGTCTTATCCCTGTGTCGGTGAAAACTAATTTTCACCTACCTGCTCAGCTTGCGTTCTGGTTCCACGTCACCACCTCCCTGCTCCACTCCATAATGTGGTCCAGCAGGATTTCTCTGTGCCTCTCAATGGCCTGGATCATCCTTTCGCTCATTCTTCTGTCCGTGCATGGCCTTCTCCAGTACTCGGCGGCAGAGCTCTTCAACCTCCGCTTTCACTACTCGGGATCTCCACCACCAGCTCTGTGCCTCTTCCCCGGCATCACCTTCCAGCCTCGCCGTCGGTATATCCATCGGGGGTCCCGGCGGAACCTCCATCTCGACGGCTCCAAAGGAATACCCTCCTTCTGGTCCACGATTCGCCGGCGGCTACCCAGGAATACCTGCCGAGCGGTCGTCTCCAGCGTGTTAGCCCGGCTGGCTAGTCAGGCTAATGCTCATGTCGCCAGGGACTTCCGCACTGCAAATTTTGGTCTTCTCAACATTCGCTTCCTCTCTGGTAAAGGACATCTCCTCCAAGATACCATCAGTGACCATAAGCTAGACTTTCTTTGTCTGAACGAAACATGGCAACAACCCGGCGATTTCTCACAACTCAATGACTGTACTCCTCCCGGATTTGTTTACCTCTCCAAACCACGTGGGTCAGGCCATGGTGGTGGTCTCGCGATACTCTATCGCGAGACTTTGAAGGTCCTTCCCGTAAACCTTCCTCCTCTCACCACTCTGGAATGCCTCGCCTGTCAACTCTCCGGCCCGACCCCCACAATAATTGTCACTGTTTATCGTCCCCCCAAGTTCAGCCCTGAGTTTTTAAATGAACTCTCTGCTCTTTTATCCCATCTGTCCGCCCATTCCCCAAATGTAATTTTACTTGATGATTTTAATATTCATATGGACAATATGGCCCTCCCCCTCAGCAAAGACTTCTCCTCATCTTTGGACAGCCTCAGTTTTCATCAATATGCCAATTTTCCCACTCACATTAAAGGTCACATCCTGGATTTGATCTGCTGCTCCGGCCTGACCCCCTCCAACTGTACAGCTGACCCGCTCCCTTTCACAGACCACTTCCTCATCTCCTTTTCTGTTCCCCTCCGTCTCTCCATCATCAAGTCACCCCGTATCACTTAATTTCGTAATATTAAGGACATTGATCTAGCCTCCCTGTCCTCCAGTTTTGCCACCCTGACCCCTAATTTGTCCTCTACTCCCGATGATCTTGTCATTCAGTACAATAACGGTCTGGCTTCTATCCTTAATTCATTTGCTCCCATCAAATCCCGCTCTGTATATTTTACTCGGTCTGCTCCATGGTTCACCCCTGCCCTACACTCCTTGAAAGCTACTAACCGGAGGCTAAAAAGACTCTACAAGAAAACCGGTCTCACCATCCATAAAGACTTATATTCTGCTCAGATTTCTCCTACAAGGACTCCATCTCCCATGCCAAATCACAGTATTACTCCGGTCTCATCTCGTCCAACTCCAGCAACACTAAGACATTATTTTCCATCATGAACAGCATTTTTCAGCCTCCCAACTCCTTACCCATCCATCTTTACTCTTCAGAAACCTGTAACTCTCTCCTTCAGTTTTTTAATGATAAGGTCAATAGAATCCAGCTCTCTTTACCTCATTCCTCCCCTCCCACTCCTGATTTATTTGAACCCTCCATTCAGTTCTCCTCCTTTGAACTTCCCCATCCCTCAAAACTATTAGATTACATCACCAAATCCAAACCTTCCACCTGTCAACTAGACCCTATTCCAACAGTTTTAGTTAAATCCTGCCTTTCTTCTCTGCTCCCTTTTATAACAGCCATTATTCATTCCTCACTATCCTCTGGTACGGTCCCCTCCCTATTCAAATCCGCTTCAGTCAGCCCTATTCTAAAAAAACCTGGTTCAGATCCCAATGACTTCAATAACCTCCGTCCCATTTCCCATCTTCCCTTCATTTCCAAAGTCCTAGAGAAAACTGTTGCATCTCAGCTCCATTCCCATCTCACCCGCAATAACCTTTATGAACAGTTTCAGTCTGGTTTCCGTCCCCACCACAGCACAGAAACAGCTCTCATCAGGATCACTAACGACCTACTCATTGCTGCTGATTCTGGTTTAATCTCTATTCTCATTCTCCTCGATCTGAGTGCAGCCTTTGACACCATTTCTCATCCCATCCTCCTTAATAGACTCTCTTCCTTAGGCATCACTCACACACCCCTCCGCTGGTTTCAATCTTACCTTACTGGCCGCACTCAATTCATCCAGTTAAAATCCTTTTCCTCAGAACCCTCCCCAGTCAAGTCAGGTGTGCCCCAGGGCTCTGTCCTGGAGCCCCTCCTCTTCATTGTATATCTCCTCCCTATCGGCAAAATCTTCCGCAAATTCAATATCCAGTTTCACTGCTTTGCGGATGACACCCAGCTCTACATTTCCAGTAAGCCCAACTCAACTCTCCCACCATCCTCCCTTACACTCTGCCTCTCTGAAATCAAATCATGGTTCACCTCTAATTTCCTCAAACTCAACGGCAATAAAACTGAACTTCTTCTAGTTGGCACTAAATCCACCATCTCAAAATCTGACAGCTTTTCTTTAACTATTGACAGCGCCATAGTCTCCCCCTCCCCTCACGTCAAGAGTCTGGGTGTCATCCTCGACAGCTCACTTTCTTTTCAAACTCACATTAATAACATAATTCGGTCAGCATACTTCCATCTACGTTCCATAAACCGTCTCCGCCCCTCACTGACCCCTCACACTGCCGCCATTCTCATCCACAGCCTCATCACCTCCCGTATCGACTATTGCAATTCACTTCTTTATGGTCTCCCCAACACACTCCTTCATACACTGTAACTGGTCCAGAATTCAGCAGCCCGTATTATCACCAGAACCCCTTCCTTTCACCACATCACCCCGGTTTTCCAACAGCTTCACTGGCTCCCAGTTAAATTCAGGTCCATCTTCAAAATTCTCCTCCATACCTTCAAAGCAATCCACAACCTCTCTCCTCCATATATCTCAGACCTTATGAGTATTCACACCCCATCCCGTTCTCTCAGATCTTCTTCTTCCATCCATCTTGTGGTTCCTTCTGCCCGTCTCGCTACCATGGGGAGCAGAGCTTTCAGCCGCTCTGCTCCTCGTCTCTGGAACTCACTTCCCCCAGACATCAGGAACATCGACAGTTTTACCCTTTTCAAAACAAAACTCAAAACACATATGTTTAAATCTGGCTACAACCTCTGATCTTATTGAACTGTTTCTCTCTTTGTTTTTTTTTCTTGTTTGGGTTTTATTATTGTTTTATTTTATTTTATTAAGTGTTTTCTGTCAAGTGACCTTGGGTGTTCTGAAAGGCGCTTTTAAATAAAATGTATTATTATTATTATTATTATTATTATTATTATTACCAGCGGCCGAAATGAGTTCTCTCCGAAGAGTGGCTGGGCTCTCCCTTAGAGATAGGGTGAGAAGCTCGGTCATCTGGGAGGGGCTCGGAGTAGACCCGCTGCTCCTCCACATCGAGAGGAGCCAGTTGAGGTGGCTCTGGCATCTGGTCAGGATGCCTCCTGGACGCCTGCCTGGTGAGGTTTTCTGAGCTTGTCCAACTGGGAGAAGACCCAAGGGAAGACCCAGGACACGGTGGAGGGACTATGTCTCTCACCTAGCCAGGGAACACCTTGGGATTCCCCTGAAAGAGCTGTCCTAAGTGGCTGGGGAGGGAGAAGTCTGGACCTCTCGACTTAGGCTACTGCCCCCGCGACCCGACACTGGATAAGCAGATGAAAATAGATGTATGGATGATTGGCTTAATGACTAGGGGTCTAATTAATCAAAAATGGTGTAGAATCCCATGCTGTTGTTCTTTTTAAAACACAGAAACAGTTTTCGTTACCTGTTTTGTCGCTACATTTCGTCTGCGGCTGTAGACTTCCTCAGGCTGACGCTGATGGTGGCGTCACCTCCTTCTCCGTTTATCCGCGGGCAGCAGAGGATGTTGTCGCCCTCTGCTGCCCGCTCTCAAGGCAAGTCGAAAACACACGAGAGCAGCAAAAGAAGAAGCAGAAAGTTCAATAAAGAAGTTAGCCTTAACAGCTCATTGCATAAGAGAAAACCATATAATGGACTGGGACAACACAAGGATCATAAACACCAAACAACAGAAATACAAAAGATGGATTAAAGAAGCAATCGAGATAAGGAGACGTGGATGTGGGACCATGAACAGGGACGATGGAGTTTACACGTTGGACCGCACATGGGACTGCATCGTCGGAGAGGGGAGAGCGGGCAGCAGAGGGCGACAACGTCTTCTGCTGCCCGCGGATAAACGAAGGAGGTGACGCCACCATCAGCGTCAGCCTGAGGAAGTCTGCAGACGAAACGTAGCGACAAAACATGTAACAAACTGTTTATGTGTTTTAAAAAGAATGACAGCATGGGATTAGAACCACGACACAGCATGAACACACCTAAGATGGTGTAGAATCCTTACTAAAACCGTACTTAAGCTCAGAAAAAATGTACTTATGCCAAGTAGGTTTGTGATCTATCAAACATGGAGTACGCACAGCTGCACGCAATCTCCGCTTCATAAATCGAAGACTAACGAGAAAGGTTCTCAGCTGCTTTTTAGTCACATCCCGCCCTCACCACGCCCACTTAGTGATGGGTAGATGAAGCCTCATGAAGCGTTTCAGCACATTCCCCAAATAGTATTGATACTGTGTCGACACAGTGCTGCAGTTTAATATAAATTTTTATTCAGAAAAATAAGTTTATCCAATGTTTTGGCATTTAGTCATTTGCGTTTGGGTGGGTGGGTGGGGGGGGGGTGGGGGGGGGGGCTTGGGGAGAAATTATGACAAGTCTCTAAATAAAGTAAAAATTCCCAGTGCAGATTGGAGACAACCCATAGAAGCACTGATTTGATCACATTTCAGAGAAAAATAGAACAGGTTAGATGCACCTAATAAATAAAATTACCAACAAACTCAGGAATCTTTCTTTGCTTCACTGTTCTGGTGCTGAGAATATCACTAATGCGGATCAAAGGAGATACACAGATGAATGCACCTCTTATTTATTATTTGGAGACTACATTTACTGCAGCTGGCAGAGGCAGAGATTTTTTCTATTGATACACGGATTTGCAGAATCATTTTAAATGTTAATAGGGGAAGACTGCAGGAGGGAGCGGTAAAATACAGGGGGTCCCCAGCAAAAACGAGAAACTATGAGTCTGATGAAACCCGCTGGATTTCCATCAGGCAGTCACGGGGCAGCTCTAACGTCCCAGTGGCTGTGCTGGGTCAGTTATCGAGCCTAGTCCGGTACCGGCTCGGCCGTGAACGAGCCGAGGCGACGTCATGCTCTGCTTAAGAAGAAGCGTTATTTTCCCGCTTCAGAAGAAGCGTCCAACGTGTTTTTACGCTTTCTCCGAGACATGTCACGTCGCTAAGTTGTTAGAGCCGCGCGCTAGCACGTCAATAGTGCAACGTAGCCTGCTGGAGGTTTTAAGGGTTCAGATGAAACACCCGACCTCTCAGGCTGCTCACACATCGATCTTAAATTGTTGCTGTTGCGCTCACGCCGTAATACAGTATTAGATGCGGTTTAAGTCAGACTTGAAAAAATAAATGAATTTTACATGAATAAGTGATGCTTAGCCTGGTGGGGGGAGGAGAACCTGGCCTAATAAGCACTGAAGGAAACCCTGTCAAGATCGTCAACACTCGTTTATCTTAATGCTGCTGAAACATGTAAACCAAAAAGCATTATATCCACTGCTACCTTTCTAATTTTAAACTCAGTAACTTATGCTGTAACTGCACCTTGCTCTGCCTACTCCTTTCTTCTTGCTGCCCGCCGGCTGTTATCACAAGCGACAACATAGTAGTTCCCGCTGCTTCTTCGGGAAACAGCGCAAAAAAAAAAAAAAACTTGGGATCTTGTAGGCGTGGCGGTAAGTTTTCAGCCGTGGCGGACCTTGACTAATTCGAGTACAAAAAAGCCTCGAGTCAAATTCTCTGCCTCGAGGCTTCGTATAATTGATGTTTAATTAATTCATGGCTTTGCAAACGCCTGGGGTCATGTTTCACCCGGACCGAATTAAGTGACGCACATACACGCTGCACTGACTGCACACGCGATTAGTGAATGTAACTTAACTTTCTCTTAAGCCATGGCAGACAACATGGACCCCGGTGGAGTGCGAAAAAGACAGAAAATGTCAAAGGTGCGGGACCATTTTTCATGTCGTAAGGCAGAAAACGTCCAGTGTAAACACTGTAAAATGGATTTAGCCTACCACAACAGCACATCCTCCATGCTGCAGCACCTAACCAGGAAACATCCACATGTAAATGTCACTTCTGCAAGCGGATTCCGAGGTCCGCTATATATTCTGTGGACACTGTGCGATTTTTTCATTTGTAGCACTCAGTTTCAGCTCACACTGCATCTGGTAGCAACACGTCGGACCTAAAAATGTGCTAAAAATAGCTGTGTTTACTAGTGGTGGGCATAGATTAATTTTTTTAATCTAGATTAATCTCACTGTAATCTTGGAATTAATCTAGATTAAAATGGCTCATTCAAATTCTGCCAAAGACATATTTGTGTGCTACCTAGATAATGAATAAAAGCAAGTCTTTGAGAATGGAGGCGTATTTCTTGTTTCAATAATGCATCACAGACTGATAAAGCAGTTTTACTATGATAACTGATGATGAAAATAAATAATGATCAATAAGTATTTGTGTTTAATAGCTGTTTATTCAGTTCAACAAATTCTGCACTGTAGGTCAACAGAATAGGTCATGATTAACTATTTACAGTCAGTAGCGTTTGGTCAATCAGTCCAAGCTCTATTTCTCTTTCTTCCACCAGTCACTCAAGCAGACCAGCTTGTTCACATTGTCTGGTGACAAACTAGTTCTTCTCTTCTACACAATATGGCCTGCTAAAGAAAAAAGTATATAGATATATATATATATATATATACACACACACAGACATACATACATACAGACATACATACATACATACAGACATACATACACACACACAAACTATCTGGCCTGGGGAGGGGGTTAAATTTCTGGGGTGCCCTTCCAGTGCCCCCCTTTAGTTTGCATGTAGGATTGCCTCTGGTGAATGGGAGTGAGAGCTGGAAATGATGCCACAGCTCACCTGTATGAGCAGAAGCCAACTGTTGCTGTTGTTGTCTCTGAAAATGGCAAGGGGAGTTATCCTAGCTCAACTTTTCTAAACAAATATAAAAATTTATGAGTAAAACGTTTATTATTACAGGTAAATTTGAGTCGAAGCCACATGAAGAACGACCTGTAGAAACAATTTATCACTTTATCACAATAAACAGCTGCTAAAAGAGCTAAACTTAGTTGTAATCTGCACCTGTCTGAGAAAGTCTTGTCTCGGTTTTCTCACATCCGAGCGCTGCTTCGGCCGCGGACGGTGAAGTGTGACCCGGGGAAAGCCCGGCTGGAAATGTCGGAGGTAAACAAAATAAAAAGAATGAAAGTCGGATTTATGGATTAAACTCTGGTGAAAGTACATAAATTATTTACTTGTCCCGCACGATGAGAAGGGAGAAGCGCTGCTGGTGGCGAAGGTGCGACTGTTCGGCTGCATGGGGAACATTAAACTCTGCGAGCCTGGCGTCCGTCCATACGTACGATGATCCGCGCCGAGTATACATCCGCGCAATGTGAAAGTCATCATAGCTTACTTAGTATAGACCCAGATCCCAACCCAACTTTGAGAATAGATTAACGGCGTCATTTTTTTTATCGCGCGATAAGAGTCTGGCTTTGCCGCAGCGCGTTAACGCCGATAACGGCCCACCCCTAGTTTTTACACAACACCTCTGACTTTTCACTGTGTGGTTATTGACGTCTGTTGTCCCTCAGGATTGCTGCAGGAGGACGCAGGTATTTATGAGTGGCGGAGGAAAACAAAAGAAAGTAAATAAATGTTTTGTGATCAGTATAATTTGACATAACCACGGCAAACATGCTTTCTCGACAATCCTTGTTATTGTGTGAGAAAATAAGTGTAGAAATTAAAACCGACGTGTGTTAATAGGGAAACAGCTGGTGAGCCATGTTTGCGCATGCGCCGTGAGCGGTTCTGGTGCTGGTAGATTCTCGTACGAGGGGAAAATCGGCTCAGGTTGTATGCTTATTTTTTGCACAGGTATTTGTTTACTCTGAAGTCAAGTTGAAGTGCTGAAGTTTTGAAAACTAATTTGAATAAAACTTGAAGAATAACTGGTTATATTCTTGCTCATTTTAAGAGGTCTTTCATATTTTATAACATGCTATTTGATATAATGGCTTACAAACACAAAAGGGTTCTTTATTGGAGTACTCGATTAATCGATAAAAGATTCTATAGAATACTCGATTACAAAAATATTCGATAGCTGCAGCTGTAAATTGTACCCTTCTCAGCAGCAGCACTGCAGGTGCTCTCCATGTCCAAAATGTGCGTAAGCCTGGTCCTTAGTCAACTTAAAGTTGCGCACATTTTTCCACAGCTTATTGCTGTGACGTCTAAAGTCTGGTTCACGTGTGAATTATGTATTTTATACTTAAACAACCATTTAGGTTCTGTAAGTGTGAGCGGAGTTGTTACAGCTTAAATTTACCGAACACACAGGTTCTAAGGATTACTGAATCTGTGATTGTTCATCCTGGTGCATCATGGAAGTTTGTGAAAGACTCCAGCTGTGTTGTTCCTCCTGCAGGCGAACCAGTGACTGTGTACCGTCTGGAGGAGAGTTCACCCAACACTATCAACAACAGCATGTCCTCCTGGTCCCAGCGGGGCTTCTGTGCCAAAATAGAGTTTCTCAGCAAGGAGGAGATGGGTGGAGGACTGAGACGGGCCCTCAAGGTGCTCTGCACCTGGTCTGAGTACGACATCCTGAAACCAGGACATCTGTATATAGTCAAGTCCTTCCTTCCTGGAGTGGTCCAGACGTGGCAGAGCATCTACAAGGAGGACACCGTGCTTCAACTTTGTCTCAGGGTGAGGTCCAGGGAGGACACTTGTTAGTTAGGGTCGCCCTAGTTAGTTAGTTAGTTAGTTAGTTAGAGTATCGGGATGGGGTTTCTGTTTTTCTCTGATTTCTCGTCTCACTTCAGGAAATCCAGCAGCAACGAGCTGCTCAGAAACTGACGTTTGCCTTCAACCAAATCAGGCCAAAGACCATTCCTTATTCTCCAAGGTGAGCTGACAGTTCTTATTCTCTATTCTTGTCTTCTCATTTTCATTCCTATAGGGCTTACAGCAGTGGTTTCCAGTGTGTGAAAATGTTCCTACGTATGAGAGATTATTTTTCTCGGCAAAAAATAATCACTGATAATATAATGAACGACATGATATTACCCACCCCTAGATGGAATTTCAATTTCAATTGCTACTCAGTGTGTTAGACAAGAACAGAAAAACTAAGTTTTTACCTTATTTTGCTGAAAGTTTCAGCTACTTCCAGTCACCTTCGTCAGAGCTTTGGTGGTGTCACATCGGTTGTCCTTTATCTGAGGGCAGTACAGGACGATGATAAATGGTAGTGGATGTGACACCACCAAAGCTCTGACGAAGGTGACAGGAAGTAGCTGATACTAGATTTCAACTAATAATTGAGCAGAAAAACTACCAATACTTTCTGTACCCTTAAAAAAAATGTCCCGGTATGCTGACAGGTAAAAAAGACAAGTGTCAGTACGCAGCACCAGTAGGGGCAGAGCCAGGGTATTTTTCGGAGGGGGTCACTAGGGGTACAAACAATGAGTCTGGGGGGCCACTCACAACTGGCAAGAATAGGCCTTGGAATTGTATTGTCGTCATGACTCAGCCATCATGTTGGCAGTCTGAGTCCTTACTTGTTGTTGTTACTTCAGACAACAGCGCGCTCAGTCTAGGTCAGGGGTCGGCAACCTTTTCCCATCAAAGTGCCGTTATCAAGGTGAAGGTCACATTTATTTCTAAAGCACACTTATTATTGCTTCCGCAACCCAAAGTGCTGTACAACACAGAAGATAAAATCGCAAACAAGTATAACTAAAAACCATAAAACCAAACCATAAAACCGTAAAAATCAGCAAGTTAGGATAAAAACAGCATTTCATCACACAATTATAAAATCGATAAAAAATGAGAAAGAATGACAAAGACAACACAAAATCATCCTATATAAAAGCCAGGTTGAATAAATGAGTTTTAAGCAAGGACTTAAAGACATCCAGACTTTGTGAGGTCCTGATCTGCAGAGGAAGACTGTTCCAGTGTGTAGGACCGGCCACAGAAAATGCCCCATCTCCTCTCGTCTTTAGGCGAGCCTTTGGAACTGACAATAAAAACTGTGAACCCGACCGCAAATTCCTGGCAGGAGTGTAGGGTGACAATAAATCATCTATATAAGGAGGGGCCAGACCATAAAGTGATTTCTAAAAAAAAAGCAACAATTTAAACTGAATCCTGTAATGCACTGGCAGCCAGTGAAGGGAAGCAAGCACTGGAGAGATGTGATCATGCTTCCTTGTACCTGTTAAAAGGTGGGCTGCAGCATTTTGAACCAGTTGCAAGCGGTTTAAGGACGAATGCCCTAATCCATAGTACAGGGAATTGCAGTAATCTAGTCGACAGGAGACAAAAAGATGAATAACATGTTCAAAGACAGTTTTCGGCAAATAGCACTTAACCTTTGCAAGTTGCCTCAAGGGATAAAAACCAGACTGGACCACTGCACGTATCTGTCTGTCCAATTTAAACGAACCATCCATAAAAAACCCAGGTTTTTCACATAAGGCTTTACAAAATCCGAAAGGGAACCAAGTGGGCTCACCACACCCTTTAACAGGTCTCCACTGCCAAAAACTAAAATCTCTGTCTTCAGGTCATTCAGTTTCATAAAATTAATTGACATCCATTGCTTCAAATCAACTAAGCAGGCCATTAAAGAAACAGCTGAATCCGGGATGAGTGGGAGATATATCTGAAGGTCATCAGCAAAGCAATGAAAAGTAATGTTGTGTCTGGCGAAGATAGAGGACAATGGTAAAATATACAGTGAGAAAAGTGTTGGCCCTAAAATGGAACCTTGTGGAACACCTCATGTCACAGGCGCTGGTGGTTATGTAAAAGTTCCCAAGTTCACAGAAAAAGATCTGTCCTGTAGATAAGACTGAAACCAATCAAGCACTGTGTCCCTAAAGGTTGGTTTATGCTTGACGCGTCCGCACGGCTCCGCGCGGAAAAGTTGCGTCATTTTGCGTCATCTTAACAACCACGCCCCTCCACCGTGCCTCCGCACGGCCCAAAATTTCCGCAACGCGCACCTAGGAAATTTTCTAACCACTCGGGTGGTCGGACGCGGAAAAACATGGCGGACCGGCAAGAACTAGTATGGCAGAGGTTCGTAAATACAGACATTTATATGATTCAGCTCTCAGAGATCACCGTGATCAACACGTTGTTAATAATTCTTGGAGAGAAATAGCTCGCACTGTCGGAAAAGACGAGGACGCTGTTAAAAATGCTGGAATGCCATGTTGTAAACAACAGTAATTTCTACTTCTACTATGGTGTAGTGTTGGATGCATGCCGTAGAACTCCATGCTACCCCATTCAGTTTGGGAGAATATTGGCTCACCGCAGAGACAAGCCGCATGAATCATAAACGCTGCAAGTTGTGAAGCGCGTTCCATCCGCGAGCCGCATCACCAAGCGAAAAGTAAATGCGTCAAGCATAAACCAAGCTTCATACCAACACACGACTCTAATCGAGACAACTGAATATCATGATCAATGGTGTCAAAAGCAGCAGATAAGTCTTGCAGCATTAAAGCAGCTGAGTGGCCATAATCAGTGATCATTAATAAATCATTCACCACTCGTAGAAGTGCACTTTCAGTGCTGTGCCGTGCTTTAAAACCCAACTGAAATTTGTCTGAAATGTGATGTATGGACAGATAATCCTGTAGCTGTGCATGAACAACTTTCTCCAGAACCTTTGATAAGAAACTAAGTTTGGAAATAGGTCTGTAATTAGATAGGCAAGTTGTGTCCAGGCTTGGCTTCTTTAAAAGGGGATTCACTATAGCCTGTTTAAAACACAGCGGAACACACCCTGAGAGAAGAGGACAGTTCATTAGTCTGTGCACAGCTGAAGCAACACTGCCAAAGGCCTGCTTAAACATACAAGGTGGAATAACATCAAGTGGACAGACTGAAGGTTTTAAACGATGGACAATATCTGATAACTCCTCTAAGGAGACAGGTTGAAATTGACACCAAGATGATAAACAATCTGGATAAGAACTTGGATCTACGATAGAGGATGTTAAATGGATGTTTAATCTGTGAAATCTTTCCGACAAAAAAGGACAAAAAGCGGTCACTAGGGATGGGTACGGAATTTGGTACTTTTTAAGGTACCGACCGAGCACCGATTCACTTCATTTGAAATGGTGCCTCGTTTCGGTACCCGTCCTTCACAACGAGAACTTGCCTAGACAGCTGCGCATGCGCAAGAGCGTTATGTCATCGGTCGCTGCGAGCGAGTTGTAAACAGAGCAGCATGGTAGAGAGAACGAACGCTAAAGCTTGGGTCCACTTCACTAAATGTGATGGGTAACTGGGTGATGATGAAACCAGCGACAACGATCTAAGTGAGACATCCTCATCCTAATCTGCTCCGGTAGGTAAATAAAATGTAAGATAACGTTAGCTTGATTTGTTAGCTTCCGTTTCGCTAATGGTGCGTTCGCTTTCTCCTCGGAACTCCGAAATTCCGACTAGAAGAACATGAACGCGCACTAAAGTTTGGCTTCACTTTACTAAATGCGACGGGTGACTGGGTGAAGATGAAACCAGTGACAAAGATCTAAGTGTGAGGCATCATCGTTTTAATCTGCTCCAGCAGCTAAATAAACTGTTTAAGATAACGTTAGCTTGATATGTTAGCTTCCATTGCCACCATCGTTGTCAGCTAATGGTGCGTTCGCTTTCTCCTCGGAAATTCTAACTTCCCAGTAGGAAAAATCAATTGAAAAAGGATGGTAAAAGGAATGAAGATACACAGTAAATTTAGTTCACAGTAAAGATGTTTGCTTCAGTTTAATTACCAGCTTATAAAACTACAAGGACGATGTTAAAATACAAACAGTTGCATGTTATTTATCGTGATATTTATCAAATATGGTTATAAATTGAGAAAAATATATATCTAATTATAAAAGAGAATTAAAATATTAAACACTCAAAAGTATCGAAAATTGGTACCGTTAAGTACCGGTATCGATTCCTAGGTACCGGGAATTAGTACCGGATCGATTCAAATGTCAAAGGTACCCATTCCTAGCGGTCACATAATTTTTGAGGTGGTATACAACTACTTCCAATGCTGGGATTCACAATACTGTTAAAAGCACTAAACAAAACCTGCAGTCTGTGACTATTGGTGGAAACAAGGTTGCACATGAACTCAGATTTTGCCTGTTTCACACAGTTCTGATAAACAGTCAGACAGTCACGCAGTGCAAGTAGAGACACATGTAGCCACTTCCTTTCAGCACGCCTGCACTTCCGTCTACAGGCACGTGTGGTTTCATTCAGCCATGGTTCCAGATTTTTTTTTTATTATACCGCACAGCTTTCAGGGGAGCCACATTATCAAGGATGTTTAAGCAAGTAGAATTTAAAAAATCTGCTAAGTCGTTGACAGACGTTGAGTCCATAAAATCAACAGCCGAGTATTCTGCATAATAATCAGAGACAGTTACGTCATTAAAAAATCTTCTCTGTCCTTGCATTGCAGTTCTCCCCACTGAGCCGTGTAATTCCAATGTAAAATGGACTGAAAAATGGTCAGAAATGCCCTGATGGAGAATGTTTGTAATGTTTACACCTAAACCAAGCGACAAAACTAAATCCAGCGTATGACCTTTTTCATGAGTTGGACCAGTAACCCACTGAACTAGGTTAAATGAGTCGATGATCTTTAAAAACTCCTTAACCAAGGGTTTGGCCTCACAACATAAATGAAAATTAAAATCGCCAACAATCAAAAACATATCATACTCGAGAGCGACTCCGGCTACAAAGTCAGAGAACTCTCTAATAAAGTTATTGTTCATTTTGGGAGGGCGGTAGATAAGGGCACAAAGCACTGTCGGAGGCAGCCGAAGCTCAGAGTTGGAGTTCAAAAGTAAGGAAGGTACCAGG